TATTGGTTAAAGGGCTTTGGGAACGCCATATCTCACTTAAGATGCTAATTGCGATTGGAAATAAAAACCGAACTGCGCAGCGCATTGCAATTACTTTGAGGACAACATCGCAACGTCCGATTATTCTTAACGGGCATAACGTGCACGTGAGGCGATCCAGAGTATGTGGTCGTTCATCCGCCAGTAGGAAGAAGTAAATAACGCGTCGGTTAAGAACGATTCTAAGTATTCGGTCCCAGTGGTGAGAATCATAGATATCTTCGAGCACCTAGAAGAAAAAGCCCCATTCCTTCGAAGCGATATCGTCTTAAACCACATCTTAATTGATAGTCAGGAGTCCTATTTCTGAGACCTCAACAGATGGAGATGTTATCGGACACTCAAATAAATTCTAACACGGACCATTGCAGAGGATCTTGCGCTCGCGTCCTTGGTGTCTAAGATAAGGAGTATCCGCTAGACTTACTCAGCTATACGGAGAATGAGCGTTCGTTCAATGACCAGTCATTAGCCTTTTAGCTCTACATGAAGCTGAGTCACGCCACACGAGCACTATTCTAAACACCGCAACCCATAGCAATGTTTCGTGGTTTAGGATATCCGCACCGTATGAAAGGGACAGAGCATAGAGCGATGAGGAGACCATACACATCTCGTCCCCGGTACTATGCGAATAACGGTTCTCACTCTCGAAGTAAGACATTCCTTTTGAGAAAGTGCCTCGTCGATTTGGGTATTTCGAGCTTCACGTATGTGATCATTGCCTAGAAGAGGTAGAGTGCAAGCTACACCCCGTTTATAGTGACGACAGCTCTGCCGTAACCAGAGACTGCTCTCAACGAAAACAAAGCTGCTGAGTGCTTAGAGTCCGAAGTTGACGCACTTCTTGTTATCTGGCAACTTGCGCATAAAAAACTTCCCTCCAAGGCGTACATCGCACGACTGTACCCATCTTCTTTTTCTATTCCAAGTTGTTTGTGTCAAACATTGTGCCAGACTTGGGCATAACCACGCCTTTGGTTCTTCTGAACATGGGTCGCCGTGAACTCGTGTGCCGGACTCCTGCAAGCCTCGAAGGTGCAGGTAGTACTTCTCATGGAACTGTTGGGTGGTATTTCTTGGATCATCAGGCGTGAAATCGAATTCAACAGTGACTTGTGGCTCAGCCTTCAGGCTGTCCTCTGCGGCGCTCTTTTTAGTTGTCTCGACCTGATACCAGATATCCCAATTTGGACGGTAGTAGACGGAGGCCCGAAGGAAGTGTTGTCTACTCCTCGAATCCCTGAACAAGCAGGGAAGAAAGGTCTGCGCATCCAAGCAGAACAAGCGGTCGTATTTCCTCTACCTCTGGATTGATGGATAGGCGAATATTCCTGTCGCGGAAAAATATCTGATCTTCCCTGCTGAGAGCGCTACGTCGTAAGAGCTCAGTGAGTGTGTCGATTCTCGTGACTACGATAGTGTGGGCCGTTCCTTGAGCATCCCACATCTGGAGTTCTGTTACTCCGCAAGTCCGTTTCAAGGGCTCTGAAGACCCAAACGTATTGATGGTCAGTTCTACTGTACTGACATTCTGGAGTTGTGACCGATCTGCGAGTTCATTGCTCATGAACGAACGGTCTGCTCCGGTGTCGAGCATGACATGGATGGTCTCCAGTGCTTGGTCCCTTGTGTTCCGGACATAGGCTTGTCCGACGAGAATGTGCACACTTGCGGAGCTTCCTTGGTGGTCAATATAGACCGCTGCTCCCTGAGCATCCTCCTGCGAAGGAGTTGTTCCATCAGAACGGGATGTATCTTCGTTGCCACCGAAGTTCGCGGTGAGGAGCCTTTCTTCGCTGGTCCCTTGCTTTGGGTACTGGTTTGTCAGGTGCTTTGTTCGGTTGCCGCTGAGGCGGCCCCGATAGCTGCGGACATATAGACGTGTTGTGCCCATGGATGCCGCATAAACGGCATGCTCCTGCAAGGCAGTACTTTGCCATGTGGTCCTTTGATCCACAATTGCGACACAGCATCTTCTTCCGCATGACCTCGAGGCGCTCTTCCCGATTTTTTACGATATTGCATTCCTTTGGCGTGTGATTGCGCTTGTCGCAGTGGAAGCAGACGTAGCCTTTACCTGCGCTTGAGAACTGTATGCGGTTTTTTCGTGATTCTTTCCTTTCTCCTTGGGCTGTCTTCTCCTCTTTTTTGTCGACTCGTCTCATGATCCTGAGCTCAGTTGTGATATATTCCTTCACACATCCGAGCATTGCTTCCGTTGACCATGTGCTCTCGGGCGATTGGAGCTCTTTTTGACGATGAACGTGACGTTGAATACTCTCCGTGAACTTTGCCAAGAGCTGCTTCTGCAGAAAAATATCGTCGGTATTTTCTCCCTTCAGATTGAGCTGCGTCGTGAGAGACGCAATCTGTTCGCAGAGCTTTTCCTGATCCTCCAGACGATCGCTCAGGCCTTGTATTCTTTGGAGTCTTTGGTCTATCAACGTCTGGGTGTTGCGTACTTGTTCTTCAAGTGGGCTACTATGAGCGGATAAGTCCTTCGAGAGGTCTCGAACTGCTTTACTGACTCTTTGGCATCTCCCTGTAGCGCGTCAAGGAGATAATTGAACTTGTACAGATCGTCAATCTGTCTGGAATGCACCGCATGTTCGAAGACTCCCCAGAACGTTTCCCATTCCCAACTCCGCTAAACTTTGGAATGGGAATTGGGGCCAAGTTCATCAGCGGTGCGATTGGAGTCCGTTCCCCCGCGTGTATGGGACGTTCTTCCTGAGCTCGCGCAGTTCTTCCAGCAGCTTGAACATTGTAGTTGACGCGGAGTATGCCCTGTCGACACGAGCTGTTGCCGCGTCTACGTTGGAGGTCACCTTTTGCAGAATCTCCTCTATGGATGGAACGCTCCTTCAATTCGTCCGCTGCTCTACTGTATTGCTCTAAAGATTTGTCAACTTTATCGATCTCCGCATCCAGCATAACCTTTGCCTGGCGTAGCCTCTGCCAATGCGTACTGATGTACGCATGTTGCTCCTGCTCATCCCCAGGAGGTTCAATCACCAGTGTGAGAAGATCACTATGCTGCTCTAAGGTTCTTTTCAGTCTATTCAGCGCGCGTGTCAATAGTCCTTGTCGGATAGAGAGTGTGGTGGTCATGCTGTTAGTGGAATGACGACGGGTTATGAAGACGTAGGACAAGCGCAATGGACGATGACTCGTGCAAGTGACAGAAGTTCACGGAATATCGCCCTACCTCCTTGTTCCTCTAATATCGGGGGGACAGCAAGCCGCCTTTAGACGAAAAAGAGAGGGCCATTAACAATGTGACCGATTGTTGTGTCATAGCTACATAATAGAACAGTCATTAACTAATGGTTCATATTCTACTCTAATATTGAGATGTTTACGAAATAGAGTCATACATGTCAATATTGAGATGATTACGAAATAGAGTAATACATGTACATTACTACTATTACAACATTACGAGAATTATGAGAACAAGACAGGAGACTCAAGGCATGGCACAGACAGCACAACTAACCGGGTCAGATACGACGTGGCAGCGTATCGGTCCATTCGACCGGTGGTGAGACGACAGGTAGAGCAGGATGACATAGCGACGACTGCTGTCAGCGCTGGGAAGGAGGGTAGCTTCCCACGCTTCCAGCGTCTTCCATCGTTTGAACTGGTGGCTACAGTAAGATGACGAATGGAGCATGATATTGTAGAGGCGCATATCACAGACGCTTTCAGATCGTACCCAAATCACGCCAGTCGTGATCGTAACGCGCCTCATACTAATTAGACGCCATTAATATGTACCCTGCGGGCTTGCTGTCCCCCCGATATTAGAGGATCCACATGTCTGGCATTGTATCTGGTAGTATGGCACCTAATTTTGCCAAATATGTCAACTTGCCAATTTGACCAAATCTGGCATGCAGACAAATGACACAATCTCTCCATAAGCGTTATTTCTCGCAGAGCCTGTCTCAAACCTATGAGCTATGAATCTTGACGCCTTATTCAAGTTATTTAAAGGAGAAATTGATTTTGACATCAACTAACTCTTTAGAAAATCTGTAACTATGGGCGTAAAGCGAGGTCACTGTTTCAAGCTATTAAGAAAAAACTCGTTTGAAAAATTATAAAGAGTTTTTCGCAGAGATTTATCTCCTTCTGGTAGTCTGCCAGCCGAGGTCCCGCACGCGGTGCGCCTACCGTAATCGTGTACAGCGTGTATCAGACGGCGCGGTTTCGGTTTCGACAAGGATTGAATTAGCCCACCTGCGCCGTTTTCACCACTGGTAGTTTCCTTCCTACGTTGACCACTAACCGATCACCACTGCTAGGGCAAGGCGCTCAAAAGCGGGCTCCCTAGCTATCAACTTCATTAGTGTAGACTATGACCGTCACTGCTGTGTCAGTGTCCAACGGCATCGATTTGAAGTTATATCAGTAACAGAATAAACTTTTTTATGGCGATGTGCGTTTGGCTTTGCATGTGGTGAGTTTTTTCCTGGAAGTGCTGTAGGGGTTATACGCATTGTTTACGTGAAAAACTTAGCTCTCTTCTCCAATATCTGCTGAAACGTACCTCCAATGTGTACGATGCTAAAAACGCACCTCCAATACGTACGAGAAGCAAGAAATTCACTCAAGACCGCTCAGTTCGTATAGTCAGACTGGCGCATTCGCTACGGTGGCCATCGCGGAAGCTCTATCGAAAACCGAGATTGCGGAAATGTCTGACAGTTGTCATATGGGTGCAGCCAAAATTGCCACTCACTAGTGGTGATCCGCCCGCAACTCCACGGTGTCGAAGAAATTGTAACTATTCCTAGCTGATGGCCAACCCGGTACCTTACCTAAGTTCGAATAACATATATCCAGCTTCCACGAGACGCTGTGGCATGGCAAGCTACACTCTTTTTGAGAACAATGTATTTATCCACAGTCCAGGACGTTTCTCCTGGCATAGCATGGTATTTCTGTTAAAAATGGACCTCCAGCCTCGACATATTACAGAACCACCACCTATATTCACCAGTAGCGCTAATTATTCCGCAGCTGTGGGTTATCCTGCATTTCTTCACTGTCAGACTCAGCCATCGAGTGAAGTGGAAATCAAATGGTTCCGCTTCGGCTCTATCATGGTCAGCGACGTGAATAAGGTGAGAATTCCATTCTACTTACAATGTTTATGTTTTCATGAGAGTGAAACTTATCTTAGATGATCCACTCGAATGGTACGCTTCAAATCCTCGCAACCTCTCGAGCAGATGCTGGTTCGTATGAGTGCCAAGCTCGAAACAGAGCAGGAATGTCAAATTTAAGGACCATGTTAGAGGTGAAAAGCAACTCCAACATTACTTTCGCTATCCATTTTCTTTTTTCACTTTGCCTCCTCTTCCTAAAATTTGTAAAAGGCAGATAAAAACGAAATAACACTGAATGTTTCTTTTGTCAGCGGGCTCAATAGGTCCATCACATTCCTTCAAGTACATAAGTCGTTTTCCATAGTAGCTATATAAGTGATCGTTCCTTCTTTTTGAAGACGATTCCCGCGATAGAGTATTACGAGTAGTAGGCATTCATTTATGAACCGGCGCCGATAAGTGGCTTCACAGTTGTAAAAAAAAGCAAAAAAGAACCATTGAGACCGTCCCGATTGATACATCTCCCTGATAGTCACGGAGCCTCATTGTACGAGTTCCCCGGACTTGCTCGCAACTAGACACCCTGCGGCTCCAACCCCTAGCTCATGAATCGTTACAGTCCTCATCATTACGGACTGTCGGGGCGGCATAGCCGCGCTGCACTGTGACGCGACAGCGGCTGCGGCTCGGTGACGATGAATCAGCTGATTTCGATGAAATTCGGCTGCAAATTATAACATTTTCAGCTCTTCAATCTTCTAAAGTGGAAGGTGAGTTGATCTGAACAATTTTGAATTCTACTGGCTCTGATTCCCTTGATTTTTATTTCGATTACATGCTCTTTTCCTTGTATTTTGCCTTATTTCAGGCAGTTATTCAGATGGCTTGCATTCTTTCAGATTCATTCAGAGTCAGTGCAATTTAAAATTGGTGAAAACAACTCACCTTCCACTTTCGAAGCTCGAAGAGTTGAAAAAGTGGGAATTCGCAGCCGAATTTCATGGAAATCAGCTGATTCGCCGTCACCGAGCCGCAGCCGCTGTCGCGTCACATTGCACCGCGGCTGTGCCGCCCCGACAGTCCGTAATGATGAGGGCTGTACTTCGCATCCTCTAATACCAAATACCGTCCAAAATCAACAAAAAAACCAAAAAGCAAAGCAGTGGAACAGAGAATAGCTCCCGAAAACTCTGTGCGTGAAATAAGGACCACGGTAAGCAGTGCAGGACACCAGATTGATAGCATTGCTGAACTTAAGCAGCGCCCAACCGCATCTCGCCTTGAGAATTGAACTGCTACTGACATTTTGTTCCCACCATAATATCCAGCGAAAGAAAAACATTCGTGAGCTCGCTAAAGAGTCGCAAGCTATTCCCGAATGCGTGAAATCTTCCTACGACGCTGTAGGGGACGCAATGCACACACTTACATCCGCGTGTAAGTAGTTGCCTCGCAAAATGAAAAGAAGAGGGAACAGTAGTCACGTTCTGCGGCTTCTTTATCTCGCCGTTTCGAATGACGAAAGTGGTAGGTTCTGTGCGAATGCAGACCCGATTGCCAATCGCACATAGGCGTTTCGCGAGCCACTTGATTGCTGGAGCTATCTTTAATGCTACAACTTGTCGTGAGTTTTTTCTTATGGATCGTGAAGTACGGCCGATTGGAAAATCTGCCATGGTTTATCATACCCTGCTAGGGATTAGTTTCAAGTCGAGACGCAGAATACCTCACTCATTTAACACATCACATAACGGATTGGGTCGCTTATCATAACACAGTTATGACTGTCTTAGGGGTGTGTGACAGGATCAGGGCCGCGCTGGGAACTAGGTCACCGATACATATAATAGTGAATGAAACACACCATCTTTAATAGCTGTAATACGTGAATCGTAGGTAATACATCATGCTGAAACATGTTGAAGGCGGTGTAAGCGCACGCAATGACCAGGTTTTCAGCGCGGCGGTGACTCTTGGCCGTCTCCCCCTTATCGTACTCACTAGGGAAGGTCGTCAGGTCGAAGTGGCCATTTGTGATGAGATGTAGATCACTAGACGTGGTTTTGGACGCTGATCTTGAATCTGCCTTCAAAATTTGCAAAGCGATTCTCTCAACGGAGTTATGGAGCCGCGTTTACCACGCAACAGATCATGGCATCGGATCTCTGCTGAGCTTAACTTTTTTTGCTTGTTGCGCAAACATGGCAAGAAGTGATTTTGCCGTCACTCCTACTTCAGTTCTCACCTGAGCTTGTCTGAAGAAAAGTTTGCCTCCATTTGGACTCCTTGTAGAAGCACTGTAGTGTACTGTAGTCTACAAGGTAGTCCAGCGCAGTAATGAATGGAGGCCAAACTTTTCTTCAGACAAGCTCAGGTGAGAACTGAAGTAGTAGTGACGGCCAAAATCACTTTTTGCCACGTTGCGCCAACAAGCAAAAAAGTTAAGCTCAGCAGGGATCCGATCCCATGACCTGTTGCGTAAGCGCGGCTCCATAACTCCGTTCAGAGAATCGCTTTGCAAATTTTGAAGGCAGATTCAAGATCAGCGTCCAAAACCACGTCTAGTGAACTACATCTCATCACAAATGGGCCACTATCTCGATCCTGACGACCTTCCCTAATCACATAGTTGAAGTATTCACGTTTCGGGCCTTCAAGGTTTATTGTGGCCAGAGCACACCAGCACGACTGGGATTTTGGATTAATCAGTATTGCCCCAATAAGTGGATTCGATGCGACCCCTCACGGGTCGCATCGAAAAAAAAACGAAATGTGTTCACATTGAATCCGCAGGAGATGGATTTTTGGTACTATACAACTATTAAGTAAAGTATGAAATCTTCGTCGTTAAACAATCTTCTTGTGGGATGCGGCACACATCTACTTTCATTTAATATAAATAGTAGTGGCTCACTGAATGCGATGTAGCCTGTGGTTCTGCAATGTACAATGAATGCGGAGGCCAGCCAATGTACAAGTCAGTGTTGTCATCCTCCCAGACGAATCTGGTATCAGTTTACCGCCTCCGGAAGGTCGAAGGCTTGGGTGGTCTGGGCGGGAGTCTACCTGGGATTTGTCCCCGGGCCCGCGCAATTTATAAACGCTTCACTTGCCACTAAACGACCTTCGCCCCATTCAAATAATACTACTCCAGAAACTCAATTTTTCGCTGAAGCTTCGCCAATAAGGTAATTCAGCCCCTCGATCACGAATATCGCAATTGTTTTCGGCGCTGGCGCCAGCTCGCCTCTATTTGGTGTCACCGATTTGCCCACCAAGTTCGGTATAAACTACTGAGAACTATTCAATATTCTGGTCACGAATATGAACTCACTCGGCAAGAAATCACTGGCTGGTTGGCCCCATTACAGGCGATGACACAACACAACGCCTTTTTTGACCACGGCGTGTGTAGCACTGACTCCTGACTGTTTCGTGCCAAGCGCGCGCTGGGACCGTTAGAGAAGCATGATCAGACGAGGCAATACACCCTGGTTGCTTGCAATAGTAATCTTTTTTTTGCTAAGGCTCAGCCTTAGCAGATGAAGGGGTAACCATTTCGGGGAAGGGTGTAGACAAGGGAAAGTGGCCTTGTTGTCACATGTACCTTCCCTATCTTTCTTCCATCCTTAGCTTCACTGACATCCCATGCAGATGTGATATTTGTGTTTAGGAGGCCAAACTACCCCTGTAGACAAGTTCTCAGCGAACTTAGTGATTTTGAGTATTCTGGCGCCGACGCCAGGCAGCAGGCCAAGCGAATGTGATATTCGTGTACAGAATGTCGAACTAAACCCGGAAATCAATTTTCAGCAAACATCGCTCACGTATAAAAAAGCCGGTAAAAGACTGTCCTGATTTCGAAGTATTGAATAATAGCTATTGAACAGTGCTGGAAATTTCTTCTGTCTTTACCAGGGAGGTCGTTCAGGACGTGGCGCGCTTTTTGAAAAAGGTTTTTTGCATTATGTGGGGTCACGAGCCTAGAGTACCAAATTGACGTTCATTTTTTCTGAACGCCTCTGGGATTACCAAAAAAGGAGTGAAAAAATGTCTGTATAAACCGATCGTTTTTGAGCCTCTATGGGCTCTAAATCACTTGCAAATTTGACCAGTCGCTGAGTGGAGGGTCCTTATAAAGGTACTATAGGAATCGAGGAGGAAAGTAGTCCTAAATGGGGTCTCACTTGAGGCACGTGAGAATGAGCGGCTCTGAGCGGCTCGTTGGAATCGTTTCTTCAACGATCGAAGCGGTGTTCAGGCACAACGATCGGATGGCCTAGTGGATAGCCTGGATTATCAATCGGACAGTGGGGGACGGTTGATGGTTCGACTCCTCTCGGCTTGCGAGTTTTTGCATTTTTTATTTTCCGTTGTTGTCGCTTTGGTATATGAGTGTTTATGAATTTTACTTGGATATCTACTATTTATAGGCACCTTCTAAATAGTTTTACCCCATAGTCGGTGCTATTCAACAATTTCGATTTTCACATACCATTAAGCAAGAAATTGTCTGAAAGTTGAGCTTTATATGTTATTCTGTGCCCTGATTACGACTATGGCATCTGCTTTTAGCTGTAGTGCAATTTATCCCCAATTTGGAGCCAAGTCTTTCTCTCACTGGACTCGCTATTTACATTCACTTGAGGGACTTTCAGAGCCATTCTGGCACCAGATTGCGTCAAGAATAAATGTCAGAATCGTGATCACGACCATCAATTACCCCTATAGGCAAGCTTCCAGCCGAAAAAATTTTTTTGACTTCCTTGAGTTGTGATAGACCATTTGGTCGAGAACAATGACAGAACTCTCACACCTTTGGAGCGGTGATGACGTAACAATGACGTGGTAGGCCGCGAGGCAGCCGTATCGCGGATTCGGTGCTCATAAGGTCCATTCATGCCTGGAATGGGCATGGGTAGCCGCAGAACAAGTGAAAAACCACCCTGGGCATTTGTCGACCCCTAGCGACTGCTTGCTCAACGAAGATGTCGTCCTCCCCTTTCCATTTTCTAAAGGGTTCGGCAATCTAGGCTGACCCGCCCACCTGCTTTTCGCGGACTTTCGATATTTTCTCAAAATTTTTGCACTTTAGGGCTGCTGCCGGGAGCCCCGCCCACTGTGAATGGCTCTGCCCACTTCGAAGAAGCCCCGCCCACTCTTCAAAATTGGTGCAGACCGGCAGTATAGAGCCTTGGCTTGCATGCTAGGGTATTGCTGACCATTCGGAATAAACTTTGCCGGATTTTCTTGTTCCGAGTGACGAACCCTAAAATGCAAAAATTTTGAAATAATATCGAAAGTCTTTCTTTTTCGCTTACTT